TTGCTGCTATGAACATTGGGGTGTAAATGCCCCTTCAGATCACTACATTTGTATTTTTGGGGTAAATACTCAGTACTGCAATTGCTGGGTCATAGGGTAGCTCTATTCTCAACTTTTTAAGGAACTTCCATACTGTTTTCTAGAGTGGCTGCACCAGCTTGCATTCCCACCAACAGTGTAGGAGGGTTCCCCTTTCTCCGCATCCTCAACAACATCTATCATTTCCTGACTTGTTAATTTTAGCCATTCTGACTGGTGTGAGGTGGTATCTCATTGTGGTTTTGATTTGTATTTCCCTGATGCTGAGTGTTGTTGAGTATTTTTTCATGTGTCTGTTGGTCATTTGTATGTCTTCTTTGGAGAAATGTCTGTTCATGTCTTTCTTTTTTTTTAAATTTTTTATTGTTATGTTAATCACCATATATTACATAATTTGTTTTGGTGTACTGTTCCATGATTCATTGTTTGTTCATAACACCCAGTGCTCCATGCAGAATGTGCCCTCCTCAATACCCATCACCAGGCTAACCCATCCCCCCAGCCCCTCCCCTCTAGAACCCTCAGTTTGTTTTTCATGTCTTTCTTGACTGAATTATTTGTTCTTTGGGTGTTGCGTTTGATAAGTTCTTTATAGATTTTGGATACTAGCCCTTTATCTGATATGTCATTTGCAAACATGTTCTTCCATTCTGTCAGTTGCCTTTTGGTTTTGTTGACTGTTTCCTTTGCTGTGCAAAAGCTTTTTATCTTGATGAAGTCCCAATAGTTCATTTTTGCCTTTGTTTCCCTTGCTCTTGGAGATGTGTCTATCAAGAAGTTGCTGTGGCTGAGGTCGAAGAGGTTGCTGCCTGTGTTCCCCTCCATGATTTTGATGGACTCCTGTCTCACATTTAGGTCTTTCATCCATTTTGAGTCTATTTTTGTGTATGGTGTAAGGAAATGGCCCAATTTCATTCTTCTTTATGTGGCTGTCCAATTCTCCCAGCACCATTTGTTAAAGAGATTGTCTTTTTTCCATTGGACATTCTTTCCAAATTCTTTGTGGAAGATTAGTTGACCATAGAGTTTAGGGTCCATTTGTGGGTTCTCTATTTCATTGATCTATGTGTCTGTTTTTACACCAGTACCATACTGTCTTGATTACAATATGTAATAGAGCTTGAAGTATGGAATTGTGATGCCACAGCTTTGGTTTTCTTTTTCAACATTCCTCTGGCTATTCAGGGTCTTTTCTGGTCCCATACAAATTTTAGGATTATTTGTTCCAGCTCTCTGAAAAAAGTTGATGGTATTTTGATAGGGATTGCATTGAATGTATAGATTGCTCTAGGTAGCATAGACATTTTAACAACATTTATTCTTCTAATCCATGAGCATGGAACATTTTTCCATTTCTTTGTGTCTTCCTCAATTTCTTTTATGAGTTTTCTGAGTACAGATCCTTTGCCTCTAGATATCTTATGGTATTTGGTGCAACTGTAAATGGGATCAACTCTAATTTCTCTCTCTTCTGTCTCATTGGTAGTATATAGAAATGCAAGTGATTTCTGTGCATTGATTTTATATCCTGTGACTTTGCTGAATTCCTGTATGAGTTCTAGCAATTTTGGGGTGAAGTCTTTTGGGTTTTCCACAGAGAGTATCATGTCATCTGCAAAGAATGAGAGTTTGACTTCTTCTTTGCCAATTCAGATGCCTTTTATTTATTTTTGTTGTCCGATTGCTGAGGCTAGGACTTCAAGTACTATATTGAACAGGAGTGGTGACAGTGGATATCCGTGCCATGTTCCTCACCTTAGGGGAAAAGCTCTCAGTTTGATATTTGATGACTCTCAAAATGATATTCTCTGTGAGCCTTTCATGAATGGTTTTTATGATATTGAGGTATGATCCCTCTATTCCTACACTGTGAAGAGTTTTAATCAAGAAAGGATGATGTACTTTGTAAAAGATTTTTTCTGCATCTATTGATAGGATCATATGGTTCTTGTCCTTTCTTTTATTTATGTAGTGTATCATATTGCCTGATTTGGAACCACCCTTGCAGATGTGGAACCACTGGGATGCAAATGCCCCTTCAGATCACTTTTCTATATGTGGAACCACCCTTGCAGCCTAGGAATAAATCCCACTTGGTTGTGGTGAATAATCCTTTGAATGTACGGTTTCATCCTATTGGCTAGTATCTTGGTGAAAATTTTTGCATCCATGTTCATCAGGGATATTGGTCTATAATTCTTCTTTTTGATGGGATCTTTGCCTGGTTTTGGGATCAAGATAATGCTGGCCTCATAGAAAAACTTTGGAAGTTTTCCTTCCATTTCTATTTTTTAAAACAGCTTCAGAAGAATAGGCATTATTTCTTTAAATGTTTGGTAGAATTCCCCTGGGGAAGCCATCTGGCCCGGGACTCTTGTTTGTTGGGAGATTTTTGATGACTGCTTCAATTTCCTTAGTGGTTATGGGTCTGTTCAGGTTTTCTATTTCTTCCTGGTTCAGTTGTGGTAGTTTATACATCTCTAGGAATGCATCCATTTCTTCCAGATTATCTAATGTGCTGGCATATAGTTGCTCATAATATGTTCTTATAATTGTTTGTATTTCTTTGGTGTTGGTTGTGATTTCTCCTCTTTCATTCATGATTTTATTTATTTGGGTCATTTCTCTTTTCGTTTTGGTAAGTCTGGGCAGGGGTTTATCAATCTTATTAATTTTCTCAAAGAACCAGCTCCTAGTTTCGTTATCTGTTCTACTGTTCTTTTGGTTTCTATTTCATCGATTCCTGCTCTAATCTTTATTAATTCTCTTCTGCTGGGTTTAGGGTTTATTTACTGTTCTCCAGCCCCTTTAGGTGTAAGGTTAGGCTGTGTATTTGAGACCTTTCTTCTTTCTTGAGAAAGGTGTGTATTGCTATATGCTCTTAGGACCACCTTTGCTGCATCCCAAAGATCTTGAACAGTTGTGTTTTCATTTTCATTTGTTTCCATGAATTTTAAAAATTCTTTAATTTCCTGGTTGACCCATTTATTCTTTAGTAGGATGCTCTTTAGCCTCCATGTATTTGAGTTCTTTCCAAATTTCCTCTTGTGATTGAGTTCCATTTTCAAAGCATTGTGGTTCAAAAATATGCAGGGAATGATCCCAGTCTTTTGGTACTGGTTGAGACCTGCTCTGTGATCCAGTGATCTATTCTGGAGAATGTTCCATGTGCATTCAAGAAGAATGTGTATTCTGTTGCTTTAGGATGGAATGTTCTGAATGTATCTATGAAGTCCATCTGGTCCAGTGTCATTCAAAGCCCTTGTTTCCTTGTTGATCTTCTGCTTATATGATCTGTCCATTGCAGTGAGTAGGGTGTTAAATCCCCTACTATTATTGTATTATTATTGATGTGTTTCCTTAATTTTGTTATTAATTGGCTTATATAATTGGCTGCTCCCATATTAGGGGCACAGATACTTACAATTGTTAGATCTTCTTGTTGGATAGACCCTTAAGTATGATATAATGTCCTTCCTCATCTCTTATTACAGTCTTTGGTTTGAAATCTAATTTGTCTGATATAAGGATTGTCACCCCAGCTTTCTTTTGAAGTCCATTAGCATGATAAATGGTTTTCCACCCCCTCACTTTCAATCTGGCGGTGACTCTGGGTCTAAAATGAGTCTCTTGCAGACAGCAAATGGATGGATCTTGCTTTTTTATCCAATCTGATACCCTGTGTCTTTTGATTGGGGTATTTAGCCCCTTTACATTCAGAGTAACTATTGAAAGATGTGAATGTAGTGCCACTGTATTACCTGTAAAGTCATTCTTTCTGTATATTGTCTCTGTTCCTTTCTGGTCTATGTTATTTTTGGGCTCTCTGCTTAAAGAATCCCTTTTAATATTTCCTGTAGGGTTGGTTTGCTGATTACAAATTCTTTTAGTTTCTGTTTGTCCTGGAAGCATTTTATCTCTCCTTCTATTATGAATGACATTCTAGTTGGATAAAATATTCTTGGCTGCATATTCTTCTCATTTAGCACCTTGAATATATCATGCCAGTCTTTGGCCTGCCAGGTCTTTGTGGATAGGTCTGCTGCCAGTCTAATGTTTCTACCCTTGTAGGTTATGGACTTCTTGTCCTGATCTGCTTTCAGGATTTTCTGTCTCTGAGATTTGCAAGTTTCACTATTATATGTCCAGGTGTTGATAAATTTTTATTGATTTTGAGGGAGATTCTCTGTGTCTCCTGGACTTGGATGCCTGTTATGTTCCCCAGTTTAGGTAAGTTCTCTGCTATAATTTGTTCCAGTATACCTTCTGCCCTTCTCTCTCTCCTCTTCTTCTGGGATCCCAATTATGCTATATTGTTTCACTTTATGGTATCACTTATATCTAGAATTCTCCCCTCATGATCCAGTAGTTGTTTATCTTTTTCTTAGCTTATTTTCCAACATTTTCTCTTCTGTATCACTGATTCTCTCTTCTGCCTCATTTATCCCAAAACTGAAAACAAAAATTAAAAAAAAAAAAAAAGAGAGAGAGAGAGAGAATATAATCAGACAGGTGAACAGAATAGAGCAATACACTGGATCCTGTGTGTATTTTGGTCCTTGTGTTAGAAAACTAGATCCCAAAATTTGAAGAAAAACTTATATAAGTATAAAATTAAATACAATGTAAGATAGAATATAACCAAAAAATGAAATTTACAAGACAACAAAAAAAGAGGAAAAAAACAGAAGAAGGAATATAAACAAACAGATGAACAGAGCAATACACTATATCCTGAGTGTAATTTGGTTGGTTTGTTAGAAGAAACTACATCTCAAAATTGTAAAGAAAGAAAAACTTATATATATACAAAAATAAAATTACATACAATGAAAGGATAGAATGTAACCGTAAAAATGAAAATTGAAAAAGATTTTTAAAAAAGAGTTGATAAAATTAGAAATTGGTTGAAAAGGAAAGAGGAAAAAATTAAAATTGAAAGACTAAAGAATTGTGGAGAAAAAAATATGGACCGCTTCATGAATTGGCATGTCATCCTTGCACAGGGGCCATTCTAATCTCTGTAACATTCTAATTTTAGTACATGTGCTCTGAAGCGAGCACAGAATTTAAGTTCTTATTACAGTTCTATTTACTTTTTTTTTTTTAAGTTATGGGGGGTTTTTTTTTTTTTATCACGTTCCTACTGGGTAGTTGGTTTGGGTGCTTACCACATTATAAAAATTAACTTACTAACTAAAAAATGTGAGCCATGCCTAGATGAATAATGAGAGTGCATGATGAACAAGGATTATGATGAATCCAATCATATGTTCTTGAGATAGTCCTTTCATCACCATCATCATCATCATCATAAAAGGAGGACTTTGGTGTTCTGATTTGCCTCAAAGAAAAGCCTAGACTAGGCAGAAGAGAGTGGATAGGTAGCACTTCTGTTTATTACCCTATTATTTTCTTAAGCATGGTTTTTGATTGAAGATGGATCTTAGATGATTCAGTTTTATATTTCTTGGTGGGATCTTGGAGCTCAGGCAACATAATGTAGCAATGATTAAGTCTAGTGGCTATTGGTCAATTCTCTGTGTTTGCATCACAGCTCTGCCACTTACCATCTGTATGATCTTGCGCAAGTTACTTAATCTCTTGTCTGAGTTTGCTCATCTGTGGGAGTGATAATCTCTTTCTCAAAAGGTAATACTTATCTCAAAAGATTGCCTCGAAAATAAATAAGATAATATATTGAAAGATGTCTGGCACATAGTAATTAACTCAGTAAATATTAATTGTTGTTATTGCCAATACTAATAATATTCTATACTGCTGATCAAAAGCAAAACTACTGTTTTGGAAATAAAATTAACGAATGATAAGACTTATGCCATTATTGAAATGTATCAGAGAAAGTGATACCAATTTTCCAAAGCTATCGTTAAAAAAACCCTCTATAATATTCTCATAGGTCATGTCATTATTAAAATAGTGGCCTCTAGATGTGTTTATAAGTGTGTCTTGACATAATTCAAAATATGATTGACACAAACAGAGCACAGTGCTCTGTTGAATGGAATTAGTTAATTTTAACTACTTAAATATTGGAGAATTATTTAGCACTGCTGAAATAATAAGTACCTGTGTCATCATAATTAGTGTTAATCTCCTCTTCTTGGTAGATAACTATCAAGTTCATAATTCTTCTAAGGTCTGTCATGATTCATGATAATAAAACCATGACCTTATTATATAGAAGGGTAATTATTTTCCTCTTCACTCTTGCAAGTGGGCAATGATCCAATTCCTTGAAAAAGAATATAAAAATATCTAGCTGGAAAGTAAAAAGAAAGTCCAAGACTCATTTTTCTCTTATACATTTAAATTGCTGTCTTGCTTGATTCTGGCAATGATACGATAGATGTAGATTTTGCAAGCATATTAATAATTGGAGGCTTATCTTAAACTCACAGAGCTTAAAAGACATATATCCATAGAACCAAAGGCAGATGTAAAGTTAATCAAAGGCCTGAAGATTCCCGCTATTTTTAGCCGAGTTTTTTCAATGAGATTAAAAAGAGTTCAATAATAATCAATATTTCAAGAGTTAATTCTAAAATCTCCTTGCTCCTCACATAAAGAATTACAACAAGAGCACAAAACTTCAGGTGATCAAGTAGAAAGATATCAAAGTTTGAAGGCATATTAAATAAACAACTGGGCTTTTATTTTTTAAAGAGTGGCAGGTTATACTTTCTTAGGTGTGGAAAACTACATATGAATACTTTCAGATGGAATTATAACTGAGGAATTTATGGAAGTAAAAGACTTGATGTAGAACAAGATCTTCTCTTAAGAACAAATTTTAAATAAATCTACTTTAATTGAGCTTGCATTGGCTAACCATTTTAGTCCTCTCCATAGTTAGGACCCATAACTACTTGAAATTATACTTAAATTATGCAGTTGTCTTGGGACCTTGAAGCTGGGAGAAAATAACTTTCCATATGTTATGAGAGTAACATGGTTCCTCAAAAATCCTAAATAGAACTCTGCCAAGTAAGAGATGCATCTTGGAATCTACCATCTACCATTATTTTTAATTCTAAAAGCCTTTAAATAAACTTTAAGTTTGCTTAAAACAACCTATTGTTGCAAGGTTTGTGGGAAATGGTATCTGTCCGTCTATTAATCAATGGATTGATCTTATCTATTACTGAGGCCACCAGCTAAGCCTAGCACAGAAGCAGTCCAGTTTTATTTGAATTACATTGGTAAGACATGAACATCAGTTAGGTTGTATCAGATCTTTAGATCGATTTGTCATTTAAAGTGAAATCTTTCATTCACAAAACAAAACAACTGTGTAGGTGTCAGTGGCTCTTAACCAGAGACGGTTTGCTTCCCACCCTTCCAGGGAATACTGGGAAATGTTTGGAGACATTTTTTGGAGACCACTGAGGGGTGTACTGGTGTCCTCTTCTGGGTACAGGCCAGAGAGGCTGATAACATCCTACAATGTACAACAGACCCCAGAACAAAAACTTTTCCAGTCCAAAATGGTCAATAGTGCCAAGTTTGAGAAATGCTGACACACATGAATCAAAATGTATTCGAAGCCAAATTTAAACTGATTTTACAGATCCACTTTTCTTTCTTTCCATTAATGTGAATAATTGTTTATCACATTATAGATAGCATGCAGTACCTAACAGATTATTGACTAAGGATGTTCTTAGGTTTAAGCTACAGACTAAAATAAACCAATTATTTTTGTCTCTATTAACTACTTAATTAACTGAAACGCTGAAGAATAAATGTTTCCCTAACTTAAGAAAATAGCATAATGTGGAAATTATTTAATTTATTCAATTATAAAAAGATTTCATTATAATTTGTTAATCATTTTTTATAGATTTGTTTATTTGTTGGTTGGTTTGTTTCCTTATGTTACTTTCATGGTTTGAAATTGGAAAAGAGACTCTGATATGCAAGATTTTATCTAGAGTGTTATATCACTGGAACACAGAGAATGACTTCCTCAGATCATAATGGAATTATCTGGCTGATATGACTGAACTCTACATATAAATTCAAAATCAAGAAACAGGCATTAGAATTTATTGCATGCCAGTCTTGTGTTTTAAAATATGCTTTCTCAAAATATTGCAGGAGATGTTATTGAGAAAAAGTCTTCTATTCTTTAAACGTGTTTTCAAAAGCTGTGCTATAAGATTTTTTTTTTTTTAAGATTTTATTTATTTATTTGACAGAGAGAGAGATATGAGAGCAGGAACACAAGCAGGGGAAGTGGGAGAGGGAAAAGCAGGCTTCCTGCCGAGCAGGGAGGCTGATGCGGGGCTCAAGCCCAGGACCCCAAGATCATGACCTGAGCCGAAGGCAGACGCTTTTTTTTTTTTTTAAAGATTTTATTTATTTATTTGACACAGAGAGACACAGCGAGAGAGGGAACACAAGCAGGAGGAGCAGGAGAGGGAGAAGCAGGCTTCCTGCGGAGCAGGGAGTCCAACATGGGGCTCGATCCCAGGACCCTAGGATCACGACCTGAGCCGAAGGCAGATGCTCAACGACTGAGCCCCCCAGGCGCCCCCGAAGGCAGACGCTTAATGACTGAGCCACCCAGGCACCCCGCCATTAAGATTTTTTAAAAATATCTATCAAATACATTAAAAACTTGTGCACTTAGTACTGTTTAGATATCAATCACAAGGCTAAGCAATAAGATATTATGGAGGTAGATGTAAAAGAAGTAAAATACTCTCTTGGCGTTTACATACAGTTAGCAACCAAAAAATTAAAGTATATGGGACAATTTTGAGTAGCACAGGATAGCATTTCATTCAGTACCAAATTTCATCATAAACCAGAATTATAGTTGTTCAGAAAATAACATGAACAATATATACAGAAAAATAAAGAAGACTTCACATGTAGAGTTGCCCTTGGACTAAGATGCCAAAACACAAATGAGATTTGCATAAGATCCAAGGCAAAACATAGACAAGGTAAAAATAAAGATGTCAACAGGGTCTAAACAAAAGACAGGAGAGAGGAGAAATAATGTGCTTTCTAACGTTTACTTTGTTTTTTTTTTTTTTTAAGTTTTCATTTAAATTCCAGTTAGTGAACATACAGTGTAATATTAGTACTTTGTTTTTAAAATAAGACAACACCCCTATCATTTTCTTTGCTTTCCTCTAGAAACAGACAGACAGACAGACAGGGAGACTGATATAACGGACAGATAGATAATCATTTCAGTAATTGCATCAGTTTGTCAAAATGAAATTATTTATTGGGTCGATAATTTTGAAGGGCTATTATATTTGTGTCTAGCAAGTAATCACTCTCAGTTTATGTATCACTCTCGGAGCTAAGATGTTCAGCTGCATAATTCAAAGTGTTATATCCAGTATTGTGTTAGTATTATAAATACAATTTCAGCCAGATAAATTAGTTCTTCTGATGAAAGAAATTAAAATTGCAGGTGTTTGACATAAATGTATAACACAATTTTTTTCATTTGATTAGTCTTAACAATTATTACGATTATTCTTACGTAATTGTGTTATATTACCAATTTATTAATATTTACCACTTACTTAGGCGTTGCTGTGTTACACCCTGCTGAAAACAAAATTCAACTGAATAAATTTTAAAAATCTTATTGACTTTATTTGGTGATTCATGAATTGGGCAGTATCCAATTTAGCAGACAGAAGAAAGCTCTGAGGAGCTGTACAAGATGAAAGACTTTTATAGGCAAAAGGGAGCATGAGTAAGGAAGTTGTACTAAGCAGAAAAGTAGACTGGTTATTGCCAGGTTATTTTCTTTACAGGGGATGGCAGAGGTTTATCAGCAGATTACCTAATTAGTGTTGGTCAGGTAGTTCCTGATTGACTGGTTTAAGATTCCATTTCTAGGGGAGCCCAAGCTGTAATTAACTTAAATCTCAGTTTGGTGATGGGTGCTTAGCATTAGCAACTCCATTTTGGACCTGTTGTCTTACCTTTAACAGACCTCTTTAAATGTAATCGGGGAAAATAAATATTGCAATATAAAACCATGTCTTGCCTTGTAAGCCTGATGGCCT